GCATATTATGCCACTGTGCTATTCTTGGCCACCAACATAAAAGTCTAGCAGAGAATACTTATATTAAATTGGCAAGATCTGTTTTTCATTAGTCCTTATCTCTCAATAAACATCTTTTTTCCTTAAGTGTAAGAAGATGCAGTCCCTTAACATATTATTTAATCATCTGCATTACAGCAGAACCTACAGGCCCTATCTGAGATTAGGGCCTCACCACACTTAGCACTGCACGCAGAGTAAAAGAAAATCCTTGCCCAGAAGACCTTACAATCTATGACTAGGTCTATTGGCACTAGAGTAATATAAAAATTAAACAGAAAAGACAATCAGCATGAGAAAAGAGAGGATTATTACACCCTTTACAAATACTAAATCTCTCATATCCTGACTTGCATAACAGCACATAGGAAGTCTGTGGCAGAAACTGAAACTATTTCTGTTGAATCCCAGTTGGTGCTTCAATCACAAGGCTAGCCTTCTCTATCATAACTTCAAATATGTTGCTCATGACAGAGATTAATCAAATTGGTCTTTATTTTCTTTAACCTTTTTTATAGATGAATTTTTTTACTGTGATTTAGTTGATTTTTTACAGATACATCACTCCAAATGTCTTTTTGATTTTTTTGCCTATGTACCTATAAATAGGCAACAGAAATATAATTTATACTTCAAGATTAATCTTTACTTACCCAAAGCTAGTTTCAGTCTAAAGCTACCTACAATTACTCTTATTACCACTACCTCAACCAACAAAACAAAAAGCTATTTAAGTTTTCATCCAACAAGAATCCAGATGTTTTTTCCATTCTATTTTAGACCTTATTTGTTTACATGTGCTAGCAAATTATAGTCTATATTTGCATGTGTGATCTTCTTAAACTACCCCATGGTCTACTTTTCTGACCAGATTTAAGCCCAAGATCACCATGACTATGAACAATTTCAGCTCGCTAGTGCTTAGACCTTCTGTGTGTTGCTTGCTGAACATGGCTAGCCAGAAATTCCATTTTATTTAGAACTTAGTTCAGCATCATTCTCCCAAACAAAAAGAGCTCAATTTAATTCTTTCCAGAGCTGTCAACCATAAACAGCTTCTGATAGTTCTCTGTATGAAGTAATGCAAGATATTTCTTATGAAGCAATCAATCCATGTTTGGCCAGGTGGGGAACCAGCCATTGTGGGAGACTAGCAGCTGACTTCTGCTTTTCGTCCTCCTGGACAGGAGTCCAGAGTATTCCCTCTGGGCAGGTTCCCAGCCCCAGTGCTCTGGAGCTCCAATTCGACCCCCAGTCCTAGTCCTGGAGCATTTCCAGTCTTACAGCACCAAATGGCAAAATCCCAGCACTCTGAGCAGGTGGTGCAGTCCCGGCTCCAGCACCAACTGCCCTGAATCCTGGCAGCAGGTCAGCCAGTCTAAGCTACAGAAGAGCAGGCAGAAACTACTGCAGGAAGGAGCGAGGGGCTGAATGTAGACAGGGTTATGTCAGTCTGTTTGGGGAGGTACATCCTCCCACAGCCTATATCAGTGTTTCTTAAACTTTTTAAGACCGAGGAACACCAAACAATGTTTTTTATGGGGAACACCAAGGATTTTTTGTTGAGAAGAAAAAAAAAGGTCAGGAGGGAAAAAAGCCGGCGGAAAAGTTATTGAGGAAAAAAAGGGTTGGGGGGAAGTTATTGAGCAAAAACAACAACAACAAAAAGGTGGCCTGCCCCTTTAAGGGTGGCCATTTTGAATTCTGTTATTCTCTGCAGCACACCTCCGACTGCCTCGCAACACACCGGTTTGCCACAAAATACAGTTTAAGAAACACTGGCCTAGATCATCTGCTGCCCATGAAGCAATCTATGAACTACTTCCAGCATCTACTACATTTAAGAGTAAGAGAAGGAACAGGAATAAACCTGGGTATCTAGCATGTCAGTGTTGGGCATTAAACACTAGGCTGATGGGGAGACCAATGTTTTCCCATATAGGCTCTTGGCATCAATTGCCAAGGGAAGCCTTTTCCATTAAATGTTTTTCAAAATGGAAGTAACTATTTTCCAAATACTCATTCCAAGATCTATTCTCTGTTTAGGATAGGAGGATACTGATCCTGCTAATAAAAGTCTTATGTGTAACTCTCCAAAAACTGGTAGGAAAACAATGTTTTAAATCATTAATATTGTGCCATGCCCAGTGTACAATCCAGACTGACAAAAAGCCTCATCTCAGCCTTTTACAATCAAGATTGGGGAGTATGGAAAAGAGAACATTTTTAGAGCACATTGCACTTGAACAATACAATATCCCTGGAATATCAGCATGAGTAGAAGTAATATGTTAAGTAGCACCGTCATTTAGATCCTATTTCATAAGTTAATGAAGCCACTTTGCAAAAAGGCAATCTCCTAAGCGGAAGAGTGTAAATAATGTATACAAAATGGGGAAAGTGAGGATGTGGGAAGAGAATCAGCACATCCATACTGGAATACATCACTAGATCGATGGCTTGCTTTGGCAGAGCTCTACTGTTGAGAAGCCTGCAGCCCACTTTGAGTCAGATAATTAATGAAAGTCAATAGATGTTGCTATGAGCACATGTATGACACAAGGGAAATATCAAGTGACCAGGTTCAGGAATGTATAGAGGTCAAGGAGAATGACAACATTTCTTACACCAAACTGTCTTTCCACACTCCAAACAGGCAGGAACTCTTTTGGCTAAAACAGTATAGCTAAGACCTATCTGGTCCGGTAACATCCATAGCCCACAGACCAGAGAGGGAGCAAGAGCTGACTGGGAGTCCAGTGGCAGGGGCTGGGGAACGCAGTCAGAGATGGAGAGCACTGCCAGCAACTGGGGTGGGAGCTGGAGCTGGAAGGGGAACCCACCAGCCAGGAGGATCAGGGCCTCCTGGACAGCCTGGAGGACAGCAGCAGGGGGCCAGGCCTGACCTCCGCTGGTCCAACAAACTCCCTCATTCGGGACTGGTCAGGTCCTGAGAGTGCCAGACCAGGGAAGTCCAATCTGTACAAACAATTGGGAGTTTCAAAAAGATACTGTCTTATATTTCAGAGCACAGGAGAAAGAAAAATAGACATTTGTGGTAGATTGGGTGTGTTTCTCTGCTTTTACATACGATACATCACTGAGGAAAAACTTAAAAAACAACAAATAGTCTGGTAGCACTTTAAAGACTAACAAAACATGAAGATGGTATCATGAGCTTTCCTGGGCACAGCCCACTTCTTCAGATGAGGTGCCCACAAAAACTCATGATACCATCTACCTGTTTTGTTAGTCTTTGAAGTGCTACCAACTATTTGTTGTTTTTTAAATTTATTCTGTACAGAATAACTCGGCTACCCCTCTAAATCACTGAAGATGACAGTGGTGCAGAAATCTATAAATTGTGGGGCTAGCAGGAGGAGCATCTTTTATTCCTTAAAAAGCACTGACATTTGTGGATAAAGTATAAATTAAAAAAAGAGAGTTTGATTCTCTCTCTCATTAAAATCTGAAGACAGATTTAATATTTATTTAATATAGGACTAAGAATATTGGTTTGAGCTAGGCATACTGTTACCTTTGAAGTTTCCCTTAGGACATGCCAGTACACCTCACTTCAGACATGCAGTAGTCTCTGTTTTTAGACCCAGCTTTAGGATTTTGGGAGCCCACCACAATTTTATATCATTGTGCAATGGTCATGTCCTTTATGCCTGAATGTATGATTACATGAAAAATATGCCACTTCAGTTTATGGCAATGAAGAGTCATGATGCAATATTCACAGTAACATGTTGTGATGGATGGTAGCTTTACTTAATTTACTGTCTCTTTGTCCTCAGCCATCTGGGATACAGGTACATGACTGCGCAACTACCCTTCCAGTCCTTAAGCCACACTCAGTAAACCACCAATTTAATACCAACAAATACTAAATTATACATTGATCCTGCAAAACAAAAATCACTGATTTCCCAGTATCTCTTGCCCTTCACATGCCCGCAAGTACTTTGATGTGTCTTGATTCCTACCCTAAAACCTAAGGCCACAATATCCTCCCTTTACTGCAATTTTAATTGGCTAAAACCTGCAAAAAAATCCAATCTTGAATTTTTTTTAAAGCAAAAATTCATGATCATGATAAAAACATATGATGTGGTTTAATTCATGGTAGTATTAACTAGTGTTTACAATAAGAGCAAAGTATTTTTTTTATTCTGACCTATGGAAAAATACAGGCACAAGTTAAACATTGTTACAATAAACATACATGCCTATTAACTATCTTTTCCACAAGCATCCTTATTTGATCTAAAATCTAATTAGCTTTAAGAATGTATGTATAAATTAGTGATATAAAATATAACCATTTCAACGGCTAACCAGTAAGTCTGCTTATCTGTTACTGTTATCAGTTATACACAGGCTCCCACCCCACTGCTTTAGGAAGCCAGCTGCCACCCCACACTACAGGTCTGTGTAACCATATAACTGGTGAGATTTTCAGCAGTTACACAATTACCCACTTTTTAACATCTGTAGGACAAATACTGTGGTACTTCCAATTATTTGTTATCTAGATTTATTTTTAAAATAGATTTTTCTCTGGTGATCAAGTACACAACACATTTTTAAGTGACATTTCACCCTATTTTGGATGTACGGAAATACAACCCAGCTAAGGCTAAATCTATACTAGGGGATAAGTTCAAATTACACAACCACAGCTACCTTAATTGCATAACTAGAATCGACATACCTTGATTCAAACTTTAGTGTCGTCTCCACAGCAGGTGGTCAATGGGAGAAATGCTCCCACCAACTTCCCTTATTCCTCATGAAGAGTAGAAGTACTGGCACCAAAGGGGGTGCCCTCAGCATTCAATTTAGTGGTCCTTATTAGACCTGCTAAATCAAACGCCAAAAGATTGACTTCCAGATCATCAATCCACCTATAAATATAGACGTGGCATAAGACACAATAACCATTTAACACCGACCTTCAGTATATTTCGTCCATCAAATGTCTCCCGTTCCTTGAAAGGTGATTTGCCTGTAACGGCATTATTTTGCTCTTCAACTACAAAAAAGTCACAAGAAAGAACTTCAGATGGGATACTTCACATTGTCTTTTCTCCCCTAAAATCTATGCATCCAGTTAATAAACATTGATCCCAGCTGATCCCAGGCTCCACGTGATGCTGACGCCAGGCTCCCTGCAGCATTTAAAGCAGCAGTTCCACACGGAGCAGCTGACCCCCAGCTCCATGAGATGCTGTTGCTTTGATGTACCCCTCCCCCCAGTTCTCCTCCCCCTGCTGCTTCTATCTGACAGAGGCAGTGAGGGAGAGGGAGTGACTACTCGACTAATCCTTCACATCCCTAATTTTTTGTGTGACCAAAATCTGCAATTTGAAAAAGCAAACATCCCAAATCACAAATATCGTTGGGAGGATTTTATATGGCTGACAGCACAATGTAATACAATAAGCAAGGGAAAGCAGATTCCAAGTTCCCTGGCCTGTCAGAAATTCAGCAATGACAAACTCATGCATCTCTTGAGATGCTGCAAAGTACCTTATTGAGTATATGATTGCAATGCAAAGCACATTCTTGACAGCATCTAGAAAAACCTGGATTGGTCTCTGAGAAATGTTGTTGCACCTTTTAAATACATACATACATACATAATACACTTGCACACGCATGCACATTATATAAGAAATTATTATGTATAAAAACAAACAAAATGAATACATTGAATGAATATTAAGATTGCAGTCATGTCCAGAAAAATTAGGAACTGCAATCTTAATTCATCTCCTTTGTGTGTATACACAATAATAAAGTCTTTAAGTAGGGATGTGAATGACTAGTTGACTAGTCGCTTAGTGGAGGGGAGAGGAGGGAGAGGAAAGGCTGGTTTAAAACAGCAGCACCGTGTGGAGCCTGGAGCCAGACTCTGGGCTCCACGCGTAGCTGCCGCTTTGAAATGCTACGTGCATCCCAGGGCCAGATGGGAGTCCCCAGCTGGCCCAGACTGCATGCAGCGCTGCCACGTTGAAATGCCCCTGTCACACGTCAAAGGTGGAAGCACCCTTATCAACTAATTGAATAGTCAATGTAGATTGCATCGGATAGGAATAATCCCTATCTTTAAACTATTTTTTCCATAAGATCTTTCTGCATCATTTAGTGAATGAGTATTCAGTATTTCTTTTTCTCCTTAACAAT